AGCAAGTCATCAGCACTCAGAAGTGTCATCATAAGTTAAGGCAGAACATTCTGAAGCGTTATCATTAGCAGAACAGTCTGAAGCGTTACTATGTATTCAAGACAGATTAATTACCAACGGCTTTGTCCAAGACAAGATCTTCTCAAAAAGGAAAGAACGTTATTATCATTGAAATGGATTTATGGACAACCAACGTATCTCTTCCTTGGTTATTTAAACAAGACTGTGTGAGAAAAGAAAAGGCTAATCATCTTCACGCATATACACGCCTACGTAAATGTTCTCACTCATTCAATTTGCTAAAGCTTTCAACCACGCCTACTCAAAAGCATTAGCAGTCTAGTTTCATTCTAAGCTTAATATTGTGTATTATCACAGTTGTGATATATAGTTTTACTAGAAAACATCAAACACACTTTTGTTCAATTATCTGTAAGAGAATTTCCTTGAGATAAATCGGTATGTGGTTAGACTCAAGAAGGCTTTAACAGTTGTTAAAGTAGTTGTTGTATTCAGTTGAATATAGTGGATTAAAACCTCGTTGGAGAGAGGTGAAATCACCTTGACGGGTGGACTGGAGTAGTTTGAGATCAAACGAACCAGGATAAAAATACCGTGTTGTCTGCACCTTTGATTTAAGATTTACAATTCAACCCCCTTCTTGTGTTTTTCACATCTTCAAACAGAAGTAACAGGTTTCACCAGTATGAAACGTTCCAGAAAATTAACCCAATTAATGGTGAATTAGCTAAACCAAGGCACCTAACGATGAAGGAAGACCAATCCCTGATCCCAGACGTCATCTTTAGAAGTACGAGTGATCGAAAAAAGATCCAAAAAGAGCACCATGGAAGGTTTGTAAGATTTATATCCAGCTTAGAGTTGGAACACCTTCATGAAAGCCCATGCTCTAGGATGAAGCTGTAAGGGGGCAACTCTCAAATGGTCCATCACGGCCACCTCAAAATCAAAGAAGGGCAACCTGGTGAAAAACAATCGTATAAAGGAAATGAGCAACTCTCAAAAGAGCTGCATATTCTCTCCCCCAGGCCTATTGGGAGAATCAACCAATTTGAGGGATCACCAACCATAATGTCACTTTATCTTAAAGCCTCGACGGTGTTTAATATGGAGGGAGACCCAACCATTTCAACGGCCACCCAATGTCATCTATTGGTGTTAGCTGACTCAATTAGCCAAAATTCCCTGCTAGCCAGTACATTATATTTATAATGGTCATCAGTGTTGACCTAGGACACAACATCAGACTACCCCTGACACTTCAAATAACGAGCAATTTCAGCATTTCTAGGTTCATGTCAATCCATTCTCCGATATGTTTTAACAAAGCTAGCGAAACATTCCCTCATTTGACGGGTAGCTTCTATTTTTTTCCTCAGTAAACACAGTGGGGACGCATTGGCTTCTCGACAAGGTTTTCATCCTATCAGGTTTTGCTGGAAATAAAATCTCTAAAGAATCCCTAAAAGTAGACATGTTTGAAAGACACTCCCCAGAAGTTTCTTTCATTTACGAATCATCAATCAAAGGGATAAATTATGGTTTAAAATCCCAAATGACAGAGGAAAAGGATTACGTTTCAGACTTCATTCCCCTTCTTGAAGAAAAAAGAAACATCGCCCTCCAAATCACTCTCAATAATAATAGGGTTATTATTCATCACAATGAAAATATAGTAAATGCTAAAATGTACAGATGAAGGGAAGAAAAGGTACCTCGAAATGTAAGGGTCGAAGGTGATAAATCAGAAAAGAAAGTTGAAAGTAAAAGCTTTGGAGCTTTGAATGGGTGGTAATGGCTACTTCGATAAAATGCTCTTGTAGAAGAGGAATAAATTCAATGGAAACAAGGTAAACTTAGTCTACAAGATTGCGAAAAAGTTCCTCCAAATTCCCTCTATCCTTATATAGGAAAAGGCAATCGAGTAGATCAAATTGAAAATAAGAAGAAAGCATGGTCCAATGGTCAGGATTTCCTTGGGAACACAATCAAACTCAAGTGCATTTGAGTGTACAGTAAGCTATGGCACGCCACTTTCTACCTTTTCAGGTTACACATCAAAGAAAAATGACAAATATTTCAATGATGGAACTGCATTAAATATCCACATTCCTCATTACTCTTTGGAAAAACTAAAGCACCACAGGCCAGGCGACACCTGAAAATAATTCTCAAAGGGTTGGCCACGACTACTATAAGACTCCACCGAGATTTAAAAAACCACAAAGTCTTAAGGGAAATTGTTTTCTGTTGGCAAAAGACCCCATAACACGAGGCCCAATTATCTAAGCTTCTCCACCAGGCTCGAGGTATAAATACCTTCACAAATTGTTTTCAGGTACACAATCTCTAATCTTCACTCCAATTATGATTATCTTAAACCCTAAACTGACATGGGTGTTGGAGTGATAACCATGTAGGTACCCCCTTTGAAATGTCGCATCAAAGATTAGAAACACTGATTCAAGATCGACACCTATCAACAACGATTCAAGATCAACGCTTTTGGTTCAAAAAGCACCGTGATTACAACCTTTAATCCACATTACTGCAAAATAAAATCACGCGCGAAGCTTCTCTCCGTGGTAGCTTCTGCATTCTCCTCCATTTTCGGTTCCGCAACGGAACAAAAATAATAATAGTGTTTTTTTTTGGGAAAACTGGTGTGAAATGAAATGAGGAAAAAAACTCCTTTATATAGGAAAAAACATGGCTAAAAAAGGAAATAATCCATTATCCTTTTTCAAAGTTTCCTATTTAGGTTGTAATTGATTAACCATATTTTAATCGATTAGTCCAAGCAAAAATAGGAAAATTTGACTTTCGA